GTGCGTGATGCAAAAGTCAAAGCGGGCTAGGAACAGCAACCAGCGTGCTTGGCGACGCGTGAGATGCTGGGACATATGCCAGTACTCGAGGTTCTTGTGATTAGTGATGATCTCAAACTGAGTGGGTAGGCCCTCGAGGTAGTGGTGCCAATCATCTAGTGCCTCAATGATCGCAAGCATTTCCTTATCATAGATCTCGTAGTTAGGCTGGGCAGGGTCCATAGCATGGGATCGGAAGGCAATGGGATGCCACTTGCCATCATCCTGCTTCTGCATTAACATGCCGCCAGTGGCATAGCCCGAGGCGTCAACCTCAATGCGCGTCTCCCGATTAGGATCGTACAGTGCCAAGACTGGAGTCGTCACAAAGAGCCGTTTGAGCTCATCGAAGGCATGTTGCTCTTCTTCGCCCCAACGCCATGGGTCGTTCCCTGTGAGCCGGTCGAGTGGTCGTGAGATCTTAGCGAAGTCTTTAATGAAGCAGCGGTAAAAGTTGGAGAAACCCCGGAACTTCTGAACATCTTTTTTGTTCCGGGGTACCGGCCACTCATTAATTCCTTTTAGCTTTGCGGGATCCATTGCTACCTCATCGCCACCAAACACATAGCCGACATAGTCGACCTTGGGGACGTCCCACTCGCATTTCTCAGGCTTCAGGAATAGATCATTATCCTGAAGGCGGCGCAGAACCTCACATGTGACCCTCTCATGTTCCTCCTTGTTGGTGGAAAAGATGAGTATGTCGTCCAGGTACACGAGGATCTTGCCGCCAACAATGAGATCATGGAGCATCTCATTCATCATCGCCTGGAAGGTTGCGGGAGAATCGGTGAGGCCGAAGAACATCACCAGGGGTTCGTACAGCCCCCGGTTAGTCACAAAAGCTGCCTTCCACTCGTCACCGGCTTTGATCCGGACGTTGTTGTATCCCCATTGGACATTGAATTTGGTAAAGAGCGTGGCACCACGGAGCTTATCTACCATTTCAGCGATCAGAGGCAAGGGATAGCAGTTCTTGACGATGATCACATTCAATCGGCGGTAGTTGTTACGAGTTGGTATGGCATCTAGCCGTTTTTTAATTTTTCCTTTTCGCGGGCTCGAACCCGTGACCTCTGTACTACATGCCTGATATGGACGTGTCGTTATCTACTATACGATTAGATTAGATGGGGCGGCAGTGCACGGCACAGCTCGGGCTCCACTGACACAGCCTCTCTGACTCACCGGCCCCCGGGGCCGCGTCAGCATGCTGCGCACGGACCAGCTGCGCACGAACCAGCGCGCACAGCCTGCCCTTATCTCCCCATGTATATAAGCCAGCCTCTGCTGCCCTAGGGACCTCAGTTTCGACCTCTTGTCCCTAGGTCAGTAAGCATCCTTTGTATTCCTTTTCTTACCTCACTAATATATTATCTTGTCCCTAGCCTTAGGTTTGAGCACTGCTCACCATCGCTTTGGTGAGATCCAGTCGAGCGCCCCCAGCTCTCAAGTCTCCCCCTGTCGCTTGACCTCAAGTCGCGACATTAGGTTGAAACTCCCCATAGCTGCCGGCGTCCCTCGGGACTCCCATAAACTCACATTCACTTCCTACAGGTCGGGTGGTGCGCACCCTTACTTTACTCTACGATACGTAGATAGCGTACTATACATCACCACCGCTTAGGGAATGAACCTTTCAACACCTGCACTTCAGTGGGCGGTGTTTGTCCTAACGGACGCGTGGTCTAGGTTCCTGCTGTATACTAGCCAAAAGCAGTACTGGGCCCCACGTGAATCGCGAACCCTAGCGTTACTTCGGGTGCCATAGGTGTAAGCTAGTATAGCACGGCCTTTCGTAGTACGCGCACCTTCCTGTCCTCCCCCCATCCATCGTGGCTGCCTGCCAAGGCCAGATCCACGCATTCAACTCCCAGAACCTCATCAACGTCTACATCCCAGACGGCCCTGAGACTGTCCTCTACCGTTGCGAGCAGCAGCCGTGCCCAAATCGGACACCCCGATCGATCGAGGAAGATTACCCTCGTTACAAGGCGATCCGACGAGCACAACACCCGCTCGGACCCCGAAGCACCCTCGCATCTCGATCGGCCTTGCGGCACTCTCGCCCTGTCTCCCCTACCTCCCGCCTCCCTCAAACTGTCGCCGATCAAGCGCGAGGAGATCTCCCTCCAAACCCTGCGCCAGAGCCTGAGCCTGAGGAGGGTGACAGTGAAGAAGGAGTCTCGGAGTCCGAGTCCGCGGATCCTGCTCGGCCCGCCTCGCCGGCAGCGCTCGCCTCCGCGTCAGCAATCCCTGACGTACGTAACCCCTCCGCCGAACTTCCTCCGGCGCCTTCACCGCCGACTCCGCTGAGAGGCCGCTCGAGCACTCACTCCTCCCGAAGTTCGGACAGCGGAGCCACCACGAAGTTTATCAACAAGCGATTCATTATTGAGAATAAGGTGCAAACGCGGAAGTTAAAGGAACCAATCCCGCTGTACAATATTGACGGCACCCTGAACAAGGACGGAAGCATCTCGGAAGTAGCAGTGCTACAGATGCAAATAGGAGAACACATCGAGAAGACGGTGTTTACGGTCACGGACATCGGTCCAGAGGATGTGATCGTTGGGTTGGATTGGCTACGCGAGCACAACCCCGAGATTGATTGGGAATCGGGCTCCCTAAAGCTATCGCGATGCCCTGAAACGTGCAGTGCCAGGAGGACTGGCCGAATGGAGCAAGCAGCGACTGCGTGTGATACGGGGGTCAGGCCCACGGTGCGCAGGCGTTCGCCGAAGTCCAAACGGTCGATCATAGGTGCCTGCCGGAGTAAGGTACTCCCGGACTTCGAACCCGAGGAAGATCCGATGGAAGTAGAGTGGAATGAGGCTGACTTGATTGAAGCCTGGGAGCAGGGTATCACACTTCCCGGCACCCCTCAGTTGTTCGTTGCAGCAGGGCACACGTATTCCCAGCTGTTCGCTGAGGAAGAGATCAAGAAGAAGGTCGTCAAAACCGCCGAGGAGTCGGTACCCAAACAGTACCACGAGTTTCTGAAGGTCTTCTCGAAAGAAGCATCAGAGCGGTTACCTGAAAGGAAGCCGTACGACCATGCGATCGAACTCGTGCCCGGCTACTCAATGTTCCATTCGAAGGTGTACCCATTATCGAACAACGAGCAGGAGGAGCTCGATAAGTTCTTAAAGGAGCAGCTGGCGAAGGGTTACATACGAGAATCGAAGTCGCCTATCTCATCTCCCTTCTTCTTCATCAAAAAGAAGGAAGGGACACTTCGACCCGTACAGGACTACCGCCGGCTGAATGCGATCACCGTCAAGAATCGCTACCCCTTGCCTCTGATCGCTGAAATGGTAGACAAGCTCCGTGGTGCCACGCTCTTCACGAAGTTCGACGTCCAATGGGGGTACAACAACGTCCGGATCAAAGCCGGTGATGAGTGGAAAGCAGCTTTTGTGACTAACCGGGGGCTGTACGAACCCCTGGTGATGTTCTTCGGCCTCACCAATTCCCCCGCAACTTTCCAGGCCATGATGAACGAGATCTTCCATGATCTCATCGTCGGCGGGAAGATCCTCGTGTACCTGGACGACATACTCATCTTCTCTACCAATAAGGAGGAGCATGAGAGGGTCACACGCGAGGTTCTTCGCCGCCTTCAGGACAACGATCTATTCCTGAAGCCTGAAAAGTGCGAATGGGACGTTCCCAAGGTCGACTACGTCGGCTATGTGTTCGGTGGCGATGAGGTAGCGATGGATCCCGCGAAGCTAAAAGGAATTAATGAGTAGCCGGTACCCCGGAACAAGAAAGATGTTCAGAAGTTCCGGGGGTTCTCCAACTTTTACCGCCGCTTCATTAAAGACTTTGCCAAGATCTCGCGATCACTCGACCGGCTCACAGGGAATGACCCATGGCGTTGGGGCGAAGAGGAGCAACATGCCTTCGATGAGCTCAAGCGGCTCTTCGCGACGACTCCAGTCTTAGCGCTGTACGACCCTAATCGGGAAACGCGCATTGAAGTCGATGCCTCAGGGTATGCCACTGGCGGCGTGTTGACTCAGAAGCAGGATGATGGCAAGTGGCACCCTATTGCCTTCAGATCCCATGCGATGGATCCGGCACAGCGGAACTACGAGATCTACGATAAGGAGATGCTCGCGATCATTGAAGCGCTAGACGATTGGCGCCACTATCTCAAGGGGTTACCCAATCAGTTCGAGATCGTAACCGATCATAAGAACCTCGAGTACTGGCGTACATCCCAGCATCTCACGCGTCGTCAAGTGCGATGGTCGCTGTTTCTGGCTCGTTTTGACTTTCGCATCACGCACAAAGCCGGGACGTCCAATGGGAAGGCTGATGCCCTGTCGCGCCGATCAGACCATCAGATCGGCAACGAGGACGATAACACCGATCAGGTGCAGGTGGTTCTCAAGCCAGAGCGCTTTCGCATCGCCTCCGCCCGGCGCGGCCATGCCTCAGTGACGGCCGACCAGTCGCTTCTGAAGCGCATCCGGGAATGCTCGGAGAGAGATCGGGAGGTGGCCGAGGCACTTGAAAAGGTGCAGGACCTTGGGCTGCCCCGGCTGCAAAGGGGTTTTGAGGAGTGGAATGCCAAACAAGGGCTTCTGCTATTCCGCGGGTGCGTGTACGTCCTAAAGAATGCGGAGCTCAAGCGGGATATCGTTAAGATCCACCACGACTCGCCGATCGCCGGCCATGGCGGTCGTGCCAAAACCCTTGAGCTCGTGTCGCGGAACTACTGGTGGCCTGGGATGTCCAAATTTGTCAATGAGTACGTAAGCACCTGTGACGTGTGCAACCGTACCAAGACATTCCCAGCCAAGCCCCAGGGTCCGCTGAAGCCGAACGAGATCCCCGAGCGCCCGTGGCAGATCATCACGACCGATATGATTGTCGGCTTACCAAAGTCTGATGGATTCGACTCGATCCTGGTCACCGCCGACCGCTTCACCAAGCAGGTCCACTTCTCCGCCTGTCATGAGACCCTGACGGCCGAAGGGGCGGCAGACCTGTACATCCGCGATATGTTCAAGCATCATGGGGCCCCAGT